CACATGCTCTGGCTAGTGTTTATCACTCTCTTCCTTCCTGTTACTTCTTGCTTCAGTTGTCTTTTGCTTCATCTTGTGATCTCCTGTTTGAATTCGAGTCATTAATTTCTGGTTCTCCCACTGTCTTGTCCCAGGCACCTTCCATCAATATTGGTTCCACCTTGGCAGCACCATGAGTCCCAGCCTGTGTGTCAGTTTCACTGTAAACTCCCCTGGCCATGATAGTCTTTCTTTTACAATGAGACAGAGTCTCGCTAATCCAGATGACTCCACTCCAGATTCTATCTTTTGTCTCTGACTTCTCTAAAGCACTCATTCCTAATAAAATATCTGGTTTTGTCCAATTTGCAGAATAAGGTTTTAAAATTTAGCACATTTTTAAAAAAGAGGCTTACTTCTTTATTTTACTATATTTTTGCAATGCTTTTACATTATTCACTTAGGATACTGCTAAAACAGCTCTCTTTAAATTCGTCCATCATAGTAAATGTTTTCACTTCATGGAAACCTACTGAAATGGAAAGTATTTTGAAAATAAATGAAATATAGACTATTTTGAAGACTATGCATGGCCAGATTAAGCATATCTTGATAGCTTGGAAATTCCTGATACTTTAAAGGTATGAAGGGGAAATAAATATATATAAAATTCTGTGCTAGAAAGAATTAAAATTCTTAGTCTCCCACATCTTCCTTCATTTTTACAGATGCAGTGATTAAGATCCTGATTAATTATTCCAAGAAGTCGAATTCATGGGGAAAAAAAGCAAATTTTCCAATTATCCAAATAACTCTGAACACACACAAGTCAAAAGGCAGGAATGATATCTCTACATTTAACTGTCTTCTCACTATGATATTATAATACTATGATATTATAATGAAGATCCTCTTCATTCCCTCTTTCTGCTGATATGTAAGAGTTGAGACATTAGAATTTGAGCTGTATGAAAAGCAAGGGACAGCCATTAGAATAAATAAGTAGAAAACATGTGCAGTGAATATTTGTGATAAAACAAGCCATTTAATTATCCACATGCAGTTTGAGCCTTTTTGCTACTTTCTCATCTTTGGCAGAAATCAATTTGACTCTCTTTCACATCAATAGAACATCTCCTAGATGACCCCCTGAGGTGGGTATGTAAAGGGTATCTGACTTTTTCATTAATGCAAGGCTATTAAAGCCATAAACAGGGCTTAACAGCGTTCAACATTCATCGCAGAAAAGCTTCTCTAGAAAAGTACTATACAGGAAAAAGAACAATTCCCCATTAATTCTGGCATTTAAAGGTGGGAGGTGATCTGAAAATCGTACTATGAAAATGTGAGTTCTAAAGATGAAAATGGCACAATAGTGGTCAGGGCTAAAAAAAATCACTTTTTTTCAGATCAGGTTTAATTTTGCTTGTACTATAAATGCATGCACACATGTTTGCTACTCTAAAAATACACTGTATATATTTACTTGTCACAGATGTCTGATGAGTCACTGCACAGTATGTTTGGGATAGGTGAAAACAATTTGAACATTTAATGGATTAGCAACTAAAATAAATATAGTATTTTAAAATACATTACTGAGATTAAACATCCTGAGACATTTCAAGGTTAGCTTTGCTTCATTGATGAACAGGGTATTCATGATCATCTGTCTTTTTTCTCTGCATTTCTCATTGTTTGAGATCCTCATCTGAAACACATCAGATGTTGACCTATTCTACCAAATAGTTTCTGGGATAACCCATCTTCTTTCTAAATATTATTTTTGTTGTTGTTGAGACGATGGCTACAGGAGAAGTAACAGGTTAGTGTGAAACATGGCTGTCAGGGTGAACATACTGACTAACTACAAAAATCTAGATATTATATAGGTGCCAAAAATATAATAGTAAATAATCATGGTCCTTGCCTTCATAGAACTTATAGCCTATCATAAAGCGATAGCAAACAAATATGTATATACAACAAATATAGGTTGTTAAAAGAGCTGTAAGAGGCAGCAGTAGGATGCTAAGAAGATGATTAGTGGGGAGAGCCATCAAATCCTGCAAGTAAGTAGTCATGAAAAATGCCTCAGGTGTGAAAATTGAAGCTTGAAGAGGAAACCATAGGAAAGCTAGCATAAGATTGCTCTATGTAGAGAAAAGAGCTCATTGTGTTTGAGCATCTGAAAGGAGGTCAATGGAACTAGAGTATAGTGTGGGAAACAAAGAAATGAGAGTTGGAAAATCGGAGTTCTCAGTGAATAAGATGTATGACAAAAATTGACAGCATCTGGAAAGATGGAGATTTGTAGTCATTGACTGGAAGAGCAGAGTTTAAGTTTTCAAATGTATATCAGCCCTAGATGATTGCTAAGTTTGGCGTGTGACCTAGGGGATACATGGTTGAAGTGCAAGCATTGTGAAAATTATCGAAGGGGAAGAGATCAAAGAATGTTAAGAGAAGGCTGTTAAAGAGATTGTCCTCATGGTCTTTGAGACCAGGTTAGGTATAACAGACAGCAAGACTGTGAGCCAAGGGCTCCTTAAGCCAAAATCTTTTTAACCTATGGGAAGTATACAATTTGTTATTACATTAAATTCAAATATCTATGACTAGTACATCTTTTCTAATTTATAAATGGGCAAAACAAACAGCTATTCAAAACATTGAAGATTTTTAGTATTTTTTTACATACATATAGAATAGTGGGAAATACATTGCTCTTTAAACTAAAACTGTCATTTTTACATTTAGCAACAAATAATCTGTATTGTACCAGAAACAAATAATTCAATCATTAAAAAAGTGAGAAACAGTGATTCCTAAATTTGCCTAAGTATAAGAATCACATAGGATGCTACTGAAAAAACACAACTCCTAGGTGTCATCCCAGATTCACTGACTCACAATCTTCTGGAATAGTGTTGAAATTTTTCATTTTTAATAAGTACCCTAAATAATTCTTAAGATCAGGCAAGACTTGGAAATGCTGCTGTAGTGGAAACAACACACTGTGGATGAAGAAATATGAATTCCAGGCCTATTTCTCTGCTAACCAGATTTTGACCCAATTAATATTCCTTGGGTCTCAGTTTCCTTTTCTACAAAATGATTACTTTGAGGCCCTTCCATCCAAAAATTTCCTATCAATGGTACTTCTACGTATGGTCTGTGTAGAAATTTTTCAATATACATTAAAAGTTAAAATTGTGCAACTTCAGGCAACATTAAAGAAAAACACAGCAAATTAACAAGTGATTTGCTAAAGATTCCTTATAATTGATAGGATAGCATTTTTCTTATTTTTCTGATATTTTCAAATGCTGGCCACTTGATGATATCTTTCTGGAAATAACCTAAAAGCTCTTCAAATTCTCTTGTTCGAATCTTCTTAAATTTTCCATTGAAATAGTTCATCAAAAGAAAAAACAACTCAGTTAAAATTCACATTATTAAATCCAAAATATATTTATTAAAATAACTATTCTTATGGTCAAAGAAAACACCACAGGCAGCAAAAGAAATATAATTTTTAACAATAATATCTTCTCTTAAGACATATTTTAGATTTAAAAGCCATGTTTGCCACTAGTAATATAGCATAAACCCTTAGACATTTATTAGTGTTTTTAAAGCTGTGGGTTACAATTTATTAGTAGATCATAACCAAAAATGGTTTTCCTGATTAAATAAAGCACACCCACAAAATCAAAATATGTTACTATAGTTGGCTGTGTTATTTTGTGAAACTTTTATTTCATTTATATATTCAAATCTCTATACATATTTTGTAAGTATTCCAAGATTTATGTAAAATGAATTTCTCACTGTGGTCACACTGTACTATCTAATGTGTATTACTTACTACTATATTATAAATAACACTAATTAGTTTGATGTATTAAGTAAGATCTGAAAATATCAGAAAAAGAACATAGCTCAGGCTCCTTTGAAATATGAGCACTATCTCAGTGAGCTTTCTATACTCTGGTTTATAAATACCCCCTCCACCCAGTTAGTGTTCTGCCTCTAGATATTCAGGTAGAAGGACCCATTAGCATTGATGCCAGGACCGGAATCTAAATGAAGCACATACAACAGTGTTACAAGGGAAAGTTAACTGTTCAAAATCATACTCAGTGCTATGTTTACTATCTACATTATAGGTAGATTTGAAATGTCAGTATTCACTATTTGCTGTAAACATCTTGAGGTCAGAGACTGTGGTTCTGTTCACAACAAAATCAACTTATTTTAATTGGTATTGGGAAAACCTGAGAATTTCTACTGGATTTACTAATTTTCTTTCAATAAGCAGTGATTTTTTAAAAAGAAAGAATTGACTAGAACTCCTTGAATTTGGCATCTACGAATGTTTATGAATCCGAGGAATAGATTTAGATGAAAAAAGATGGCTTCTTTGGCATGTCTTTTCCCTGAACCTGATACATGCAGCCATATGTCAGATCCAGTTCCAAAAAAGCAAGTTGATGGGCTTCCAGTGACAACATGGAATTTGAAGTTCTAAGAAACTTCATTGAAAAAAATGAACTGTAACCTGCCAAGGTCAGAGAATGACATTTTCATAAATTAATGCTATCAGAAACTGCAGAAATTTTCACAACCGTCTTATTTGAAACCAGCAGAAGTTCCAGTAGGGGTCATACTGATTATGCTGGGAGCAAATATGAAGCCTACCAACGCATGTAAGAATTTTCTCTGAATACATAGTGATAAAACTCAAAATAGATTTTTTTTGCATGCTAAACAGAAACATACCTATGTTTGTATGTTTAATGCCTCTTTAGTTGCTCTAAAATGATTATTTTTATGTACTTAAGCTTAATATCTTTTTTTTTTGGTACCTACAAGTAACAAAAACATCTTAAACTAGAAGTTTAAGTTTGACAGAGATAGATTTGGATTGAAGCCGGGTAATTAAATAAATTATAAAATGACAATGAGGAAGAGACAGAGGATAGAGGAAAGAAAAAAGGAACTAATTTTCCACTTACTTTGAATATGTTTTAACTTCTGAGAAGTTCATACCTAGGTGAACCTGGAACACAGGAATTGATTGGAAATTATTAAATATTAATTTGGCCTTTATCATTTGCCATTAGGTCATATATAAAGAATATTCTAAAACTATAATAAGGATTATGATTCTAAATATTCTATCAAACATTTTATTATATTAAAAAAGGATAGAATAAAGAAGACAACTTCTATGCGACATGAGATGAGGCATATAAGTGGGAAATAATAGGGAATTTTAATTTGGATATAATTTGTTTAATCACATCTTTATCTACCAGAACCCATATCATCTCACTTAACTCACTTTCCTCCTCTTTAAACCTCTGTAAAATAGGTTTTAAAGAAGATAGTCAATCCCAGTTCATCATCCCTTAATGGAGCTGAAGTTTCACTGGAAAAATGATCTATACCACAGGAGTCTCCAGCCTTTTTAGCAGCAATCCTACTGTCCATTTCCCTGACATACAAAGTAATAATGAGAACAAGAAGTTGGAGTTATACTCACTGACAGGGTAACATTTCACATGAGCAGGGACCAGTGCCTGCCTGTAAGTAGCTCCCTGCATCATCTCTGGATGGGGAGCCTCAGAATGGTTGCCACAGGGCCTTGAGCCCTGCTGGAGGTCATGAAAACACTTTTCACTTTCTTGGGCAATACCACTCCAAGTACACTTAGTAAATGGGAAAGAACAGCCTGAAATGATAACCACTGAGCTGTCACAAAATAAATTACATTTATAAACAAGCAAACAAAAAAAAAGAGCACATTCCCTGGGACTGGAATGTGAGATATTCCCCATTGAGCCCTGTTCTCCCCATTAGCATATACAATGTCTGTCCTAGTCTTCATTCCATGGGCTTCAATTACTTAATTTTTCTAGATATGAATAGTCTTTTCCCTGAAGTCATATTTTGATAGATAGCTCTGTTCTGACACTCTTTTGTCTCATCCCTAGACAGATGTCTCTTGCTTGCGAGGTGGCCAAGAAAAAATTTTTTCAAGTCAGAGCTGTTAAAGCAGACAGCATTCCTTCTCTTGGACTCTCCCCTGAAATCTCTGAATCTCTAAGCAACAATAGGTGCAGCTGACTTTCCTGATCTGAGACGTTTAAGAGGATTTTAGAAAAGATTTGGCTTTTGTTTGTTGTTTATTTGGGTCGCCTGGAATAAGGGAAGAGTATTATTTCTAGCCTTCCAAACAAAGAGTTTCAGAGGTTGCTTTGAAAGTAGGACTGATGATTGGAATGCTTCCTTCTCATCCCACTCATTGGATCATCTCTAATGTTACACTGAGGAGCTTGCCAAATTGTGGTATATCTCTCAGTAGCGAGTAAATAAAGGGAAGTAAATGACCAATAATTTATCTTGTATTCGTTATAATCAACTCAAATTACCTTGAACAAACAAATGTGTTTCTATTACCAAATGCCATAAAAAGATAAAGGTATATGGGAATAATTATTTTCAATTGAATAAAGAAAAATGAATATATTCATGACTTTATATTTCATACATGTATGATATTTTATCCATTGAAAAACAATGGATCTAAAACTCAATCAAATGTCTCGTGTGGGTCATGAGATAATTCATGAGACTATGGATCTAGGAGAATGTATTCAATGATTTATCCAAAGTTAGCTGGAATTCACAGCACAAGCAAAGAAATATTACCTTTTACCTAGCTATAGCTAAAATACTGAGTTACAACGCTCAAGCACATAATTTAGGAGTATGCAAACAGTGCTGCCCTTGAAAGGTGAGGGCCATCCTCTAATCTGCTTTCTGAATTGCTTATAGAGGAAATTGAAATTAGATTTCCCACACATTAGCAGGGGGAGCTTGGAGGACAGTATGGGAAAAGTTTTAAAGAGAGTCCAAATTCAACCTTAGCAGAACAGAACACCTTGAATGATTAGTGATATTTGTATAAGTATTGAAAGGTGGGTCCTGGTCCTCCTGCCACATATTTGCCACCCCTGGTCCACGCATCGCTTATCCATTTTATCATTCAACCATCTTTCTGTCTGTTTTGAAATGCCTTATTGAATTTCAACTATACAAACTTCTAAGCCATAACTTAGGAGATCAAGGTATTTGTTCTAACCTAAATGTACTTAAGAAAAATTAAAACCTAATATTACATACCATCCTCTAATTTCCTTTTGCCACTGTGTGGCCCCCATTTCAGATGTATATTTTTTAGATATCCTATTTCCATGATATTATTCTATTTTGAGGAACACACTCACTCTTTTCTTCTACACAATCTCATGCAAATATCTTTCTCTCAGCTTGTAAATAATCACTGGTGAACTCTTTGATAGAGTTTCCATTTAACTATAAAGTGGTGACTGGGTTATTCCATCGGCCCAATGTCCTCAGAAACACTTAGGTATTAACTCCACCTACTACATATATTTGTCACATTTTTGCCTATGTCTAAGTCCTCAGTTGTTGTTTTTTAAATATATTTTAGCTGCTTCTTGATCGGCTGCTTCTTGGCCAAAGCTCATCTTGAACTGCTGTCTCAAGTTTCATAATGGAGAGAATCCAATAATATAGTATATGATTAAATATTAACAAAATGCTTTTTTTGTTGTTTGTTTGTTTGTTTGTTTACTTAAGACTGCTTTTGAATTAGAAAAACACTGTGGAGTCGGTTTCCTAAACTCGAACATCTTTTAAAGTGCTTGGTCAACTCTATTGTATTTTCTCCTATGCCTTGTTTTGTTCTCATCCAAAATCTACTAATGGGTAGATTGTTGTCTCTTCTTGGTGAATCTCTCTCTAAATCTTCTTATTTTCTGTAGATATGATTAAACTAAGCCAGTATTTATCAATATCTGAACTCCAAAGTCTTCTTATTGCCCTAATATTTGGAAAAATTAGGTTTATCAAAAGTGGAATCAGTAATAACTTCATTTTTAATAAATAAGAGTTTTCATACATTAATAGTTGAATAAAAAAGCTATTGATCACACATAGTTTCATTCATTTTCAACAAATATTAGTTGGGCATCTAAACTGTCCTAGATAGTATACAGGAGTAAATGAATCAGATATAAGCAAAGTAAAGTGTTAAAATGGAACTTGGAGAATAGTGGAAACATTAAACAAAATACAGTTACAACTAATTTTCAACATTCTGAAGTAAGTGAATAGGGTGAAGGGGTAGATAGCAAAAATGGTTGTCATTTAGGAAGACCTTGATGGAAAGAATATTTAAGTGAAATCTAAAGGATTTTTTTTTTTTTTAAGGCAAGCCACACAGAGTAGAGGAAGAATATTTTCCAATTAGTTAGAAATGAATGTTCAAAATTTTCAAAGCAGGAAACAATTTGACAAGCTCTAAGAATTAAAAGAAGTCAGCATGGCAGAATGTAGGAGACAAGTAGGCAACAAATGAGTTAAAAATAAGAAAGAACCAGAGATTATTCAAGAATTTATAGGCTATGATAAGGATTTTGGATTTTATTGGAAGTATAATGGAAGCCACTAGAGGGTTTTAAGCATAGGAGTAGCATATTCATATTTATGTTTGCAAAAATGTCACACTGGCAGCTCTATACAACATGGATTTGAGAGAGTAAATAAATATCAAGACTAGCAAAGTAGGTGCTGCATAAACCAGATGATAGATGATAGTACTTTGATCTAATCTGATGTTGAGGAGACGCTGTGAAGAATCAAAATTTTTAGAAGAAATAAAAGACTTGAG